CCCTTCAAGCACCTTTGGGTGCCTAGTGTAGTGAATTCCATAATTTGCAGTGCCTTTCAAATAACGCAAAACTCTCTCTAGAGCTTTCCAATGCACATCTCCTGGTTTTGAAACAAACCGACTCAGTTTGTTAACAGCAAAAGAGATGTCAGGTCTTGTAGCACTGGCTAAGTACATAAGCGAGCCAATAATCTGAGAATACTTCAATTGGTCTCTAGCAATTCTTCGATTCTCTCGAAGCAACACACTAGCATCATATGATGTTGGAGAGGGCTTGCAGTCACTGTAGCCAAAGCGACTCAAGATCTTTTCCACATAGTGAGATTGAAGCAATGCAATCCCACCATCATCGCCTCTCAACAACTTGATGTTCAGAATGACATCAGCCACTCCTAAATCCTTCATCTCAAAACAGCGAGATAGGAAATCCTTGACCTCCTTAATAATATTCATATTTGTTCCAAAAATTAGTATGTCATCAACATACAAGCAAAGGATAGTACACACATTTGTCAGCTTTGTTTACAACAAAGCCCGCAGCTATTAAAGTTCTTTCAAACTTCTCATGCCACTGTTTAGGTGCTTGCTTGAGTCCATACAAAGACTTCAGCAACTTGCACACTTTTCCTTCCTGACCATCTAGTACAAACCCATCTGGTTGTTCCATATAAATTTCCTCGTCCAACTCTCCATTTAGGAAAGCAGTCTTAACATCCATTTGATGAACGAGAAGACCATGTGAGGCAGCTAGTGAAAGTAGAACTCGAATAGTGGTCAGCCGAGCCACAGGTGAGTAAGTATCAAAGAAGTCTTCACCTTCCTTTTGGTATAACCCTTAGCCACGAGCCGAGCCTTGCACTTTTCAATAGTACCATCAGGCCTAAGCTTCTTCTTGAATACCCATTTGCATCCTATAGGTTTGCATCCATAAGGACGATCAGTTATCTCCCAAGTTTCATTCGCCAAGATGGAATCCATCTCGCTACAAACTGCTTTCTTCCAATAGTCAGCATCTTCAGATGCATAGGCCTCTGAAATAGAACTGGGAGTGTCATCTATGAGATACACAAGAAAATCATTACCAAAGGACTTTGCAGTCCTCTGTCTCTTGCTCCTAATAGGAATTTCATTGTTCTCCTCCACAGGACTTTCAAAGTGTTCTATCAAAATGGCAAGTTTGGTAATTGTAACTGGTTCCTGATTCGATGAACTAGGCATCTCCTGATTAGATGAGGTAGCCATATCCTTTATGAGAAAGATATCTTGAAAGAAAGTCGCATCATTCGACTCCATGATCGTACCGACATGCATGTCAGGTACCTTAGATTTTACAACCAAGAATCTATAGCCAATGCTATGAAAAGCATATCCCAGGAAAACACAATCCACAGTCTTTGGTCCAAGCTTACGCTTCTTTGGAATTGGAACATTGACTTTCGCCAAACAACCCCATGTACATAGATAAGAGAGTTTTAACCTTTTCTTCTCCCATTCCTCGAATGGAGTTATCTCTTTGTTCTTTGTGGGAACTCGGTTTAGGACATGACATGCCATCAATATCGCCTCCCCCCACCATGCCTTGGAGAGACCCGATGTGTCTAACATGGCGTTAACCAAATCAGTTAGAGTAAGGTTCTTTCTTTCGGCCACCCCATTTGACTGAGGTGAATAGGGAGGCGTCATCTCATGGATTATACCATGTTCCGCACAAAAAGCATCAAATTCATTGGAAAAATACTCTCCACCACGGTCGGACCTAAGCCTCTTGATTCTTCGATCAAGTTGGTATTCCACTTCAGCTTTATAGATCTTGAAAAAGTTCAAAGCCTCATCCTTAGATTTCAGAAGATACACACGTCAGTGTCTAGTGGAGTCATCAATTAACGTCATGAAATATTTCTTTCCACCTTCTGTCAAAACGCCATTCATTTCACAAAGATCTGAATGTATGAGCTCTAGTGGTGCAAGATTTCTCGTTTCCGCAGTCATGTGAGACTTATGAGGTTGCTTAGCTTGCACACACACTTCACACTTAGATCCCTTGACAGTGGTGAAACTAGGGATTATGTTCAACTTTGCTAGTCGTGACATACAACCAAAGTTAACATGACAAAGACATGAATGCCACACATTTGATTCACTATTGTTGCAAACATGATTAACAACTTTATTGCAAACGTATGATAAGGATAAACGAAACAAGCCTCCTGACTCATAGCCTTTACCAACAAAGGTTCCATACTCGGATATTACAAATTTATTCGACTCAAAGACAAGCTTGTAGCCATCTCTACACAGAAGGGATCCGCTAACAAGATTTTTATTGACGGAGGGGACATAATGCACGTTCTTCAGCCGCACGATCTTCCCCGAAGTAAACTTCAGATCGACCGTGCCAACACCACGAACAAAAGCACTTGAACCGTTGCCCATCAGCATGGTTGAAGTCCCTGCGGTCTGATAAGACGAAAACATGGAAATATCACCGCATACATGCACATTAGCACCCGTGTCAATCATCCAATCAGGAGAATGACATACTGAAAGAATAGTGGGAAATATACCATACCCAGCATCCTTCATATCAATGTCTCCAATGACAACATTAACGGTCTTGCCGCCTTTCCCGGGATGACGCTTGTCATAGCGATTAGGGCAACTAGGAGCCCAATGACCAGGATCCCCACACACATGACAGACACCTTTCTTCTTGTCATTATTCTTCTTGAAGTTCTTGTGCTGGACAACCTTATTCTTCCCATCAAACTTTGCTTTACCATCAAACTTGCCCTTGTTCTTGAACTTGTGGGGCTGGAAGTTCTGCTTCTGCACCACATTGGCACTAGATCCTCCCTCAATACCTCGAGCACGTGTGTCCTTTGCTCTTGCCTTTTCTTCCATATCAAGAGTGCCAATGAGATCCGGGATGGAAAACTCCTGCCTCTTATGCTTCAGCAAGGTAGCAAGGTTCCTCCATGAAGGAGGAAGCTTGGTGATGATACCTCCGGCAACAAACTTGTCTGGTAGCATACAACCGAAGTGCTCAAGTTCTCTAGCAAATGACTGTATCTCATGAGCTTGCTCAACCACGGAGCGCTCTTCAGTCATCCTGTAATCATAGAATTGCTCCATGATGTACAGCTCAGTGCCAACAACCGAGACCCCAAACTTGGCCTCAAGTGCATCCCACATATCTTTTCCATTATCAATTGACGCATAAACATCAACTATGTTCTCACCAAGAACACTCAAGAGAGCAACCTTAAACAGAGTATCCATTTTCTAAAAGGCTTGTGCCTATTGAGCATCAAGCTCTCCTTCAGGTTTGCCAAGAGTGGCATCATAGCAACTCATGGTTTGAAACCATAAGACTGCTCTCACGCGCCACCTCTTATAGTGGATACCCTCAAACATAGGAGGTCTCGTGAAAGCAACAAAACCACTCGGGGTAAATTGCCTATAATAAGGTTTTTGGATTGTTGGAAATATGAGCAATTTACCGAATGATTTTATTAACAGAAATACTAGATAAAGCATGACCAGTATAGTAGTGATAAAACAAGCCATGCGATTTGACAAAGAGAAGGTAAACAACATCTTCATATATGAACTGTAACTAAACATATCTAGAGCAGACAGTATAGCAAGTTGCATATATGAAATAGAGTCTAACATATCTAGGGCAAATACTAGAACAAGGAACTGTAGCAGGACCTCTAATAGAAAGGAGAAGAACACGTACGGGACAGCAGCATCATAAGCGTTGTACTTGGGGTCGGTGTCCTCGCCTGCCATGTCGTCGAGGAGGACGTGGACGTTGGGGAAGAAGTCATCGTCAGGGAAGTAGTCGTCGGCGACCCGATCGTCCGTGATGAAACAGCCAGTAGTCCGCTGAGCGCTTCCCAAAAACCTTATCACCCTTCTCCCGTACAGGACTCAAAAGGTGCGGTTTCAGAGGCCTACTGTCCCGACTCGCGGTGCACGCCGTAAGCCGGGATGAGGAAGACAACAACAGCTCAAAGATTGGAACCGGTGGCGAGAGGAAGGAGAAGTTCTGGTACGTCTCTCTGGGAGGAGCGACCTCCCTTTTATAGAGGGCACCGACGGGAGGTGAAACGAAGAGACGGAGATGAAGCGAACAGCCAGCAGGCTGCACCGTTCGCATTCGAACTCCACTTTCGCAAAAATCTTTTCGGCTCATTCCCGCCGCGTCGAGGTGTGGCGAGGCGGGCGGCGGAGGAGGAGCGCGCGTGGATGTCCCTCTTGTTCTCATGCTCATACAAGTGGGGAAAGAATCTCCCTTATAAAGAGGTCCAACTCCCTCTAAACTAGCAATGTGAGACTAAACTTTAGTTTCACCTCTTGCCTTGCACGAATGGGTTGCATGGGCCTCTAAGATTTATTAAGAATTTCTGAAACTGCTATTAGGCTAGGCTTAAAATAGACAAAATTTCAGCAATTGTTTGCATTTCTTAGATTCCAAACCCTGCTCTGCTCCCATTATGAGTGGTGCATGGATCTTATACCTTGTTTGTCTGACTTTGAGTGATCCTCGCAGCATATCCATATTGGACTTTCTTTCTATAGGAAGTGGTGAAACTCTTTACATTTTCAAGAGTGATGCTTAGCCCATGGTTTTCTTGCCTTGGTTCTCACCGCTGTTACCTTTTCCTAGTGATGGATGGTAAAGTGCTTGCTTTTCAATTGTCAATGGACTAAAAGAATGATCATGGTTAAAGTCCTTTGACGTGAATACCAGCTTCCAATTGATGGTGTTTTCCCAAAGTAAAACCCCACCTTGCAATAAAGACAAGAAAAAAGTACTTTTAACTGGCAAATTGTTGCTTTGTCACCCATTCCCGTACCAGGAATACAGTTCTTGCAGTATATTCAGGTGCAGCAGATGCTTCAGGAATCTTAATTACTTAGCAGTTCTGTACACAAACGCACTATCAACTTCAGTATGATGTCTGCAATATAGGATTATAGTTCTTGGCGGTCTAGTTGATCTTGGCGAAGTCCAGCGTCTTCTTGCCCTCGAGCTTGCTGGTGACGTAGTGCCGGCTGTACTCGCCGTGCTTGAACCTCCGGTACCGGCAGGCCTCCCCGTCGGCGACGAGCTCCGGCAGCGGGCCGAGCTCGACGTCGTAGGCCGGCGCGTAGAACGTGACGATGGACAGCCGGTCCTGCTCGCCGTTGGTCACCGCCCGGTGCTCCACGCTCTTGTACCTGCCGTTGGTGAGCACCTCGAGCGAGTCGCCGAGGTTGACGACGAGGGCGTGCGGGACGGGGTGGACGGGCACCCAGGCGCCGTCCCGGAGCACCTGCAGCCCCGCGCGGCCGGCGTCCTGCTGGAGCACGGTGACCGCGCTCCCGTCGGAGTGAGCGCTCAGCCCCAGCACCAGGTCCGGCCGAGGGCACGGCGGGTAGAAATTCATCCGCACCGCCTGCACCGCGTCGCCGAACATGCCCGCGAACGTGCTGGGCGCGAGGCCCAGCGTCTCGGCGATGTGATCGAGGAGACGATGGCAGAGCGCCCTGACCTCGGCAGAGTACCTCTCGAGGGTGTCGGTGAAGGCGGCCGGCGTGGCCGGCCAGAGCTTGGGTTGCCGGATGAACGCCGGGGACACGCCGAGCGCCAGCATGTTGCACCAGTCGAGCTTCTGGTCCTCGGAGAAGACGAAGGCGTGACCGTAGCCCTGGATGCCGCCCGGCGCCATAGGGTACCGCTCCTTCTCCTCCAGCGGCAGCATGAAGAACTCCCTCGACAACCTCTCCATCTCGTCCAGCAGCTCGCCGTCGATGCCATGGTTCACCACCTACATGTACACGTCACATAATTGGTTTTCACGTGACAGATGATTGATGAAGTAGCCATATCGATTGGTGCGTACCTGGAAGAAGCCCCACTCCTGGCAGGCTCTCCTGAGCTTCTTCAGCTCGTCCCCATCGCCGCCGCCGCGCCGGAGCTCGCCGGCGTCGATCACGGGGATCTCCGCATGCGCGCACACGTTGGCGCCCCCCGGCCGGTCGTCGCCGTCCCGGACGTACCGCTCCGGCACGTCGTCCACGCACGCCCTCTGCAGCTCCTGCACGTCGTCAACCCGGCCGATCTTAACAACCCCACCATCCTTCTCCTCCTCCTGCCGCCGCTGCTGCTGCTTAGGGGAGCAGACGGCCGCAGAAGCCATTGCCGACCGTCCTGTTCCGCTGCCGAACCTTGGTGCCGGCGTGCGCCCGTATATATAGGCCGGCTACCGAGAGGGAGACATCACTGGGATTCGTCCTGGCCGTTCTTGGTGGGTGTGAGTGTGAGTGTGGTGTTATGTCACACGTGAGCTCAGCGCAGCTCCACTCGGCGAGAAAACCGAAAACACCATGAAAGATTCAGAAGTTTCGTGCCGGTGAAAACCACGGCATCCGGTCGAGGATGAGGATCAAGCCGGCAAGCTTTGCTTTCGCTCCGAGTTGGGGTACTATTCTTCTGCTGCCGCTGGTGGCAGGCAGTGTGCGGTCGCTTTAGCGCTTTGGCCGGTTTCTTGGCGAGCTTTTCGCTTTAGTTGGGTACTGTTTTGCGCCATGATCCGCGACTTTGTGACGCGGGACGGCCGAGTGGTTTCAGATGACACGATTGTTTGCCAGTTTCGGAGGTGGAGGATAGGCACGGGCTGGGGTCCGTACCAAAAACTATGATATCCCGTGATGATGGGGACTGGATGGACGATGCCGTGATGGTGGCTCATGATGCATGTGAACCTCCTTTTCTTTTCTCCAGCAGCATTATTTTGAACTCTCTCTCTCTCTTTTTTGCGTAGATGAAATGTAATTTTGTTTGTAAGTCAAAAAGTTTGG